AGTACACTTACTCATCAACGTAGTCTCTTCCTCTGTATTCAGGCTTGGATCTGGAGTAGCCGGAGTAGGACGCCCTGCAGAGACAAAAAGTACAGCTGTGATGATAACGAATGCTCTTAATTGACTGTGACAACACAAACTGTTAGTAATATTCAGTCGTGACTCGATGATCCGACACCAAATGTAAAGCCTTCTTTCATGTCGGATTGTGAAGACGGAGGTCGAGATACAAGAAGGGCTTGATGCTCGAAGGGTCATTTATTGTTAATATTTATTGTTTATAGTTGTTATAATAACTCGTGTATTGTTAGAACACTACGCATCGCTGGATTTCACGCCTAATTGACCGGTGCGATTGTGCAAATTCCGGCCACTTCCACCCCGTCTGCGCGCACCCCTGGGGTGGAAGTGGCCGGAATGCACAGGCAGTACTTGGCTGCCTTGGATGCCGGTTTAGTTATGGGGAGTGCCAGATACACTCCACCGTTACTATCCATGTTTACTTCTGCAAACACTGAGCACGCTCGCTGCATGTGACGTCGTTGTGTCCTCTTCTGCGCATGAGGGACACTTTTGGGTCGTATGAAGTTCACACAGCAGATCACATACAAGTTGTATTTAATTAGAAATGTGAACAAACTCGCAAAAAATCGGATTTCACAAAAAAAATCCGAATTGAGCATGAAGTCCTGCAGTCTGAACGTAGCCAATCTGTCGGATTGTTAAGTCAGATAATACACCGTTGTCCTTATTTGTGACATAAAATGTCACGTCAGAGTTGGAATCCAAGGCTGTCGGTATGTTAAGGCTGTTTTTAATGGGGTCCGTGTGTTTTTCCTGAACCTGTCATATAGCAAGGTTTCTGGATTGTTAAGGGTCAGATTATCAAGTCATGACTGTACCATATTTACTTCTGAACTGGGACACATGGGAAGTACAAACTAACATGAAGTTAAAGTGCTCAAAGAACAAGGGCCACTTCCAATTTTTTACTGTACTGAAGAAAATCATAAATATATTAACTGATAACAATTAGCTGTGGCCCAAAATACAGCATTCTTACAACATAGGTCAAAATCTGATCTGAGACACACTGCTTATTGTGGTCTTTTTGAATACACAACAGCAGATCAATAAAACCATCATTTGCATCACAGCTTGTCTGCAGGAGGGAGAAATGTAAACTACTTTGCAAATCTGACCAAGGTAGTCGATGTAAATACATCACATTACATGACGACACTTACGCATCAGTGAAGTCTCTTCCGCTGTATTCAGGCTTGGAGCTTGAGTAGCTCGTGTAGGACGTCCTGCAGAGACAAAAAAGTACAGATGTGACAACACAAACCGTTAGTGATATAACTGTAACGTACTCGTGTTCATAATCCCTCCCACTCTAATTTATAACATGTTTACATTCAACTTCATTTATGCTGTGAAGTAACCAGTAAAAAACAAAGTGGAATATTAATGTCGTACAGAAAAATACCTTATTTACTTCTGAACTAGCTGTGGCCCAAAATACAGCATTCTTACAACTTAGGGTAAAATCTGATCTGAGACCAGCTGCTTGCGGTGATGTAAATACACCACATTCTATGACGACACTTACGCATCAGCGAAGCCTCTTCCGCTGTATTCAGGCTTGGAGCTTGAGTAGCCTGAGTAGGACGTCCTGCAGAGACAAAAAGTACAGATGTGATGGTAATGAATGCTCTGACCTGCCTGTGACAACACAAACCGTTTGTAATAGAACTGTAACGTACTCATGTTCATAATCCCTCGCGCTCCACTCTGGTCTCGACCTCATGTACGTCCCGCTAGACAGGCGAGACAAACAGGAGTTAATGACTCACACTGACATGTTTTGGCTTATTTCAACAAACAGACAAGAGTTAATCCTTGAACTTTGTCGAAGAGGATTTGTGAGAAAACTGACCTGTCTCCTGAGGCCTCGTTTCTGATCTGTAAAATTGGAACCAGAGATAATAAGTACTTAAATATATTAGTACATTGTTTACATACTGAATACACACCCACACTGAACTGTGTAACTGTTGCTGTAATTAATTTACATGTACTGCATCTCAAACTCTTGCAGGGGGATTCCCTCCTCATTCAGATTTCAAAAGAGCATTAAGTCATATGGAAGCTAAGACAAAGGGGTGAGCTTTGGCTCTATAAACATATAGATAACCATTTTGTTGTTAAAATCAGGCAACAAAATCACTCAGAAGTTGGCTACTCAAACTACAAGATGTCCAAAGAAGATGTCCAGAATATCATGACCAATAATGATGACAGATGTCTGGACTGACCAGTTCATTTTCCTACTGTTAATATTATTACTATAAAAAACACTGTACTTGACACAAGAGAAGGTGTTTTACTGGCAATCTTCATGAAATATTTACTTTTATTTTCTAAATGCACCTCTCACTGTGAAACTGAAACTGTGAATGTCTCTTTGCATTTAGGCCACATTCAGATTCAAGACGCAGGTATTGCAAAACAGCAGAGCCACACCTGAAGGGAGTGTAAAAAGACAAACTCACCGGTGTCCTGTACAGGTACGTGACTTCCTCCTCTGAAAGAAAACACAAACATCTTGTTTAATGATGTGTGCACATTTCCAATATATGATTTCCTGCACCTTTGCCATACTCAAGTGGCACTTAAGTAGTAAATACTGCCAGAGTATGCCTTCCCCTTTTAATTAATCAAATATGAATCACTGTCATTAATGATTTACTGTATTTTTTTAGTACAGTTAAGTGCCCTGCGGTTTACAGTAAATCACCTGATCAACATCCTCGAGTCAGTTTACACAGAACAGCAACACAGATGGTTTTTAGCTGCTTTGCTGGGCTGATGAAGTAAATAAATCAATCAGTACACAAGTTAAAAAGTTATTTTGCAATAAAAAGAAAAGACAAATGAATGTCTTGAATTCATTTCTGAGTCTTCATACATCAACTTTTATTTATCCAAGCCTACATTTGTTTATTTCCTCATTTCTCTGTGTAGATGTTGATGAACTAAATGGCTTTGAATGAGGCCTGGAACTCCTACTTTATTACAACACTGAACACAGAAATACACAAGTTAAGAGATTACAAAATACAGGAACAAATTGAGTCTTATAATGGATCAAACTGTCTGTAACAATATAACGTGTGTAATAGATACTATATCACTATAGAATGTATGCACATGATAATTGATGTTTTCTACACAGATCATTTCACTGTGCCTGTATAATGCCTGGTTACCTTTCCAGATAACCAACAGCCCAGTTTATTTCTGTTTTCTTAAACAATGAAACTGAAAGCTGAGAGCTCGACTTGAGGATGGCGCTGATGTAGTAAATGATTTACCTTCAGCTGATAAACTGTGGGAAAGCTCAGCTGTGTGAGGTGAAGAAAGGAACACGGTTTGACCTGCTTTTAGATCCTGATTGAATCCATGTCTGAGATAATTTATATTTATGACCAATTAAAGCTAAGCTGTTGCTGTGTGCATAAATGAACACAGATTACATTAACTATTGGTGAGTGTCAATGATTTACGCTGAAGGTGTGTGTCTCCATCACAGTAAAGTTTTATTGTTGTGGACCTACATTTAGTAGCCTGGTAAATTAGAAATGTAAGAGCAAAATGAGAATCATGTAATGTAATTTTGGTACACTACCTGTGTCTATTGTGCTCTCTGTAATGTTTTTGGTGAACTTTTGGTGCTTAAATGGAGACAAATCCTTCCCTAAATCACTTCACACAACTAGAAGTGCTGTTGTTGTGCAATGTTTCATGAAAATGGGCTTAGATACGACCTGGTAAGGTTTCTATGAAAATATGACTCAGATGCTCATTCAGACATGAAGCCAACACGTTCACATTAAGGGAACAGTGTCTGAAACTGTCGTAAATATAACGTGGGACTTACCTTCCTCTCTGTAGTAGGTTTTGTCAGGTGATGGTTTCGCTTTTTTATCTTTGGCCATGGCCTCTTTCAGCTTCTTCTCATACAGACCTCTGGTGGAGTCTGTGTTCAAAACAGGTCACACACATAACAATGAGCAACAGCAGACAGAAAACCGTAAACTTTAACTTTATATTACAGCCTGAACTCTGTAGTTGACCTCAGGCCTGAGTGGAGTGAGCTAACGTTGATTCAAAATCGGGCGCAAAGTAAACCGTCCAGTCTGGGCCACTCACCGACCACAGGTCCGTGTTTTATCCCGTATTCATCGAGCAGCTCCCTGATTTCGTCCGAAGATTTCCTACTTAAAGCCATTTTTACTCGATTTATTCGCCTAAATTCCCGCAGCGTGTTATTTTAGTACGTTCTTCTTTCGGTTAAGCTTTAGTTTCATGTGACAAAAAAAGAAAACAGACATAACTCCTCCCACCGGTAATCACCGGGGAGCTTGTTTTGTTACACGGCGTAGCGCTGACGATGCTACGCGGAGTCGCACGGTCGTTGTGTTACATTTAAACCCCGCCCTCGTTTGTCGAGCCAAGTAAATAAAACAAGCGCAAACGTTCTTCTTCGTTTTTGGTTTCTTTGAGTGTTTTTTCTTTATAGGAGCCGAGCAGCGCCACCAGCAGGCGGTTATGTTTACTGACGTTGATTCCAACTATGCTAATAATAATGACGCTAACAGTGCTGAAAACATTTTCAAATATTTTTCATTACAAGTAAATAATCTGTCATCAAAACAGTATTAAAAGCACAATAAAAGTATGCATTTTATGGAATTTACACTTTCAGGCTACATACCATTGTTTCAATTGTTATATTTTTTATATTTGATTAGCATTAATTAAGATCAATGCTAATTTTAACAATGCTTACGGTGGTGAAAAACATTTTCAAATACATTTTTAAAATAGTAATTTTGCAATGTAAATATATTCCATGACATGTAATTGTTCTGTCATCAAATCAGTATTTTAAGTGCAATAAAAGTACACATTTAGCAGAATTGCACCCTTTAGAATACATTTTACTGATTAAATTATTATTTAGATTTTTTTGTTTCCTGTTGGCAGTAATTGAAGTCATGGATTGTGTCTGAATGTAGTTTGTTATTCCTAATTTGCAAACTGTTATAGCTGTGGCCTAATTGTAGTGAAAATGCAAAATGTACTCACAACTCTGACACAGTAGAACATGAGAAAATATTAGAACTGATGTACTAACATGTAGCAAACCCTAATTTTAACCATTTTACAATTTAATCTGTGGTTGTTTACAGTAATCAAATCAATTCATTCATATGTTTTGTATGTGATGCCGTAGAAAGTATTGAAAAACTATTGTCAGATTCTTGCAGTGGAGTTTGAAGTTTCTTTCCTCTATCAACAACAGTAAAACTCAACACGTGCCAGATTTATCACTAATTCAGCGCAGGAGCTCTTGGTTTTATTCCTATGTAGACCTGATTGAATCTTAAACACGACTTGTCTATGTTTCATTCAAATACATCAGCACCATTTAAAAAAAAGGTAGTACTTTATTAAGCATATTAAAGGTAACAATACATGTTTGTGTACGTATAGAAGTTTAAATGCATAGAACTGTACTTCTTTACAAATCAGTATCAATCATGTGTAAGCTTATAAACAGGTGCTAATGGCCAAAAAAAAAGAGGATGATCCCTAAAAGAAGAAAATCTGCCTGATCCAATCGGCTTGGTCTGTGGTCAACCAGAACATCAGTAATCCCATCGCTGTCACCAGACCCATCTTCAGTATCAGCTTCAGCATGCCGAGACTCTGCAGGAACAAAGGACAGGACAGAGAGGTAAGAAAATCAAAGCAGACAAAGTAAATGTTGAGTGAAGGCCTGTGAGTGCATACTTTGTGTTTTCCTGTGCAGGTTCGTGTGGTGCTGAGGTCTTGTAGCTGCATGTTTGGAGGATCACAAGCAGGTTTCATCTGTGGGATGACTTCAGGCTCCCTCTGTTCCTGTGAACAGATAAAGCAGGTTAGTAGTGTATGTTGTAATGTGTGTGTGTGCTGTTACATATTTGCTGGTGATGGTTTTCTTACGTCAGATGTTTCTGTGGAGCTCGGGTTCTCCTCCCTGTCTGAGGAACTGCTGAGTGAATCTCTGTCACTGCTGAGAAAAGAAGAAACAGGTTTTGGTTTGATTCTGCTCAGGTTGTGGTTATCCAAGAAGAGTATTCTTAAGGAATTCTGCTCACCTGTCAGTTTCATAGTGAATGACTCGAGACAACGGATCTGCACAAAACTGAACTTTGGTCTGCCTCCCTGAAGCACAAATGAAATACCGTTGAACTGCTTATTCACGATGACACTCAGAGACCGTCTCATCATCACTCACCTTCTCTTCCGTTGTCCTCGTCACTGTCGTCATAAAACCTGTAGAAAGCCTGGATCCTCTCCTGCTCCTGTTCCCAGTTTCTCTCCTCTTCGTACTCGTCTTCTCCCAGCGTTCCCAGCTCGTCGACGCCTGAGGCCTCGATTCCAGTGTTGAAGAAGAAGCTGTCATCGAGGGAGCCCTGGTAAGAGGAGCTCGTGGTTCTGCTGTCCTCCCTTTGTACCGCAGAGTAACTGCTGACGTCTTCTCCTGGATGTGTTCCCGCCTTGTCTGGTTCTTCTAACAGGTATTCAGACAGAAAGTTGTCAGATTTTAACACGTCAAAGTCCCAACTGAGGAAATCTGCTGGCTCCGCTCTGGGGTTGTCATGGCATTCGGTGCTGCTCCCACTGTCAGGCTTGATATTTTCAGGGTCTTGTTGGCACATGTTACCTAAGAGTTCCTCGTTGTTCCTCCTCAGTGGGTACTCATCCTCACTGGAGCTGTAGGAGTCGCTCCCACCTGTCTCATCTCCATCATCACTCCACGTCACAGCGGCGTTACCCGACAAATCCTCTGTTTTCCCTCCGTCTTCTTCTCCAGCTGCCACATCCAGGCTCATCAGCCGATCAGCCTCTGTCTCTAAATCTCTGCTGTACAGATACTCGTCTTCCTTCCTATCAGTGTCCTCACTGCTTGTTAAATCTTCCACTACCTCCAGACACGTGTCCTGCTGTGAATATGAACCACAATCAGACGTACAAGACGGGGCGTTCGACTTGCACTTACTTTCTTGATTCTTTCCTCCATTTTCTGTGTATTCACAGGAAGAAAAGTCCGAGGGATAATCTGCAAAGCTCTCCCCTGCCTCTTGGTGCTCCTCCCCTGAGAAGTCCTTCATTTTCTCCTCATATTTCTCATTATCAACTTCAGCAATGAGATCCTGCAGGTTTTGCAGAGATATGCTTGGAAACTCCGAACTGGCCGTCGTGGGATCATCTCCGTAAGGACTTTCAACCTCTTGCTCCAAGTCCTGGGCGAGGACGTTTTCTTCTTTTTCGATTTTCATGCCTTCCCACTCGGGATCAGATGAGTCCTCTTGCTTTTCTTCTACCTTTTCGTCCTCTTCAGCTCCAACACCTTTTATCATCATCTCACCGCCACCTTCAGGGAGTCTCCCAAAATAGGCCTCCTCCTCGTCGCTCTCGGCCTCACCTTGCTCCTTGTTTCTAACTTGAGGGTTTTCGGCAGCCTCCAGAGCCAGAGGTCGTCCCTCAGCATAGACCCTGTCCTCTTTATCTTCATCGTGGAACTCATCACTACACTGAACAGACATCAACAAATCCCCTGGTTCCTCTGCCGCTCCCACACCCTCCTCCTCCTCCTCCTCCTCCTCCTCATTATCTTCATCTTCTCCAGAGACAGAATCCTCCTGTTCAGAATCTCCATCTGAGCTTGTGTAATCCTCCTCTGGCGTGTTGACCCCTGCATAGTCCTCCTCATCGCTTTTATCATCAGTCTGTTCTTCATTTTCAGCCGAGTACAGCATATCTTTAGCTTCCTCGCCAAACAAAACTGCAGCTTCACCAGTTGCTTCCTGGAGCAGAGCCCCGTCTTCCTTTGCTGTTAAGTTTTCTGTCTCTTCTTCCTCCTCGCACTTTTCATCCAAATTTAAACTCTCAAAGTCCAAATCGCCATCAGGTAATGATGGAACTGATGTCTCTGTAAAAACATCACACATTTTTTAAAAATCTTTTTACAAAAAGTTAAATGAATAAATAAAATAAAAACCACAATAACAAAATGTGTTTCTTACCAGAAAAAGCATCCGTGAGGAGATCAGCAAAGCCCTCCATCTTTGCAAATAGACAAATCAGTAAGTTATGTTTGAACTATATCGAGACAAAAATGAATGCATTGCCTTGAGATAATGTCCTCTTTCAAAAAGGAAGAGAGCACGAAGCAACTCTCGTCTGCTGCTGCTGCTGCAAGACGCTTCCTGTCGAACAGACTGTGCATAAATTACACTTAAAAACTAAAAGGTCTCATTAAATACATGGCAATAAGTGTGAAAGTGATGCAAACTTACCATAAAAGATGAAGATGTGAGACGATTTCTCAGGTTATTCTAGTAAAACAACAACAGTAATGTTCTGTTTGTTCTGTTGCTGCAGAAACGCACCTCCGTGAGCTCATGAAATGATGTCAGCTTTGATGTGGTTTTGGTTTCAGACGCACGATAAAAAAAAAAAAACTCCCGCAGTTGAACACAAAGCTCAAGTTGTAGCTGAAACAACTCACATTTATTGCTGTCATATAAAACTGATGAAGATTTAGAGTCATTATAAAGCTAACAGTGAATATTCTGCTGTTCATTTATTCAGTAAAATCAATTAAAACTACAATTTTAACCAAAAAGTCTTCATGATGATGATGCTGAGCGGCCTACAGCTCGTGGCGGAGGAGGTAGCGGTGGTTGGGCTTCAGGTCAACTTCTACAGGAAAATGGTCACTCACTTCAAGAGCCTACAGTCCCAACAGAAGAGCAGAGTTAATGTTGTGTGGAGTATAAACCTGAAGAACAGCATTTCTGTGACTGCTTTACCTCTGCCTCAGTGAGGTGGAAACTCTCTCTAAAGTTGAACGGTTGAGCTGAACCTGAAACTACACCAGAGGTAATCTCCCGTCCGTGTACAATGATCCTGTTTGAACATGTGGAAACCGTATTGTAAGACACAATAAGAGCACTGGTGATCACAATATGTGCAAAATGAGCGCTCAGTGGTCACCGACCTGTCGTATGCACAGTGTGTTTTCTGCCTGACAGTGGTGTCTTGATCATCTCCGATCAGCCAACGAAAACTGGGGTCACTCCTCAGCCGAACGGCCTTCCAGCCCTTGATGGTGACGTAGCCGCAGCCGGCGTTCAGGTCCCCCAGGATCATTACATTCTGGTGTGAATGAAAAGGGAAGCAAAAGAGGAAGTTCGAAAACCATGAAAACACTCATAAATCAAATGTGGAAGGTAGACAATGACACAAAACCAAGCTGAGGAACTCTGACCAACATATAAACAAAGACAAAAAAAAAAAAAGCAGAATGATGATGATGATGCGGTTTAACCTACATCAATCTTCCACTTCTTGTAAATCCCTTTAAAGACAGTGTACAGCTCATCCATCTCCTTCATGGCTGTTTTGGGGCTGGTGTGTTGTCCAATCAGAACAAAGTCCTTCACCACTGAAAACAGAAATGCTTTCATCAGGTGACACATCTTTAATGAATGCTTTATCCCAGCTTTGAATCCTTTTCTGATTTGAAACCAGATTTTTCCTTTTACTATGTGCATTACTCTGATATTATCCAGGTTTCTGGTGGTTTGTTTAGGTTTTTCTTTCACTCCTCCAAATCCAGTAAACATGTATTTTCTCTGTTATTCTGTAAAGTTTCTGCAAGAGGTCACACTGCCTGATTCACAGGATCCACCTGATAAAATAAAAATAGAGCAACTATTTGTTGATGTTGATGTTGAGTTGATGTTTCTCAAAAAAAATAAAATTTTCTGGTAATCATGTTTGCAAGTTTCTGATTCACTGTTCATTGTGTATTTTTATTAATATTTTTCTGTTTTTCAAAGATACTTTTTTTGAAAACACATTTTTTGGACTCTATGGCCAAATCCATGTTACCACGGTGACAGTCAGTGACACCTGCCGACCAGTGGAACCGGTGGAGAGAAAAAAAAACGAGGAAAACATTACTCATGATTTGTGGTTTGTGCTGTGGAGCGATAATGAGGAAGGAACAAGTTTTTAGAGGCAACAGAAACCTGTCAAACACCAATGATGATGTCTTGATGTGTCATATTTGTTTGGGCAAAGAAACTATGTTGAGTTAGTAGAAACTACTGAGCCCTGCTGTACATCTGGACTGACCCACATTTACTTGCTATGGAAGCTTTTTGTAATGTGCCCAGCATCACCTTACTTATGTAAAAGTAAAAAGTTATTCCTTACACTGCTTGTTACATTGCTTTTGTGTCACTCCGTTTCATCTTTTGAGATTGTCTTAACGTTGTCTGGTAATTGCCAGTTACTAGTATGATGTTAAACCTTACCTATAGCTCTATATCAGCAAAAAATCAATCAATCCATCCATCCATTATCGATACACCGCTTAATCCTCATTAGGGTCGCGGGGGGGCTGGAGTCTATCCCAGCCGACTCAGGGTGAAGGCAGGACAATTTAGAATCACCAATTAACCTCATCATGGTTTTGGACTGTGTGGGAGGAAGCATGGAGAGAACATGCAAACTCCACGCAGAAAGATCCCGGGTGTCCTCACCGGGATGGATGCGAACCGGTGGCCTTCTTGCTGCGAGGCAACGATGCTAACCACTGAGCCACCTTGCAGCCCTCAGCAAAAAATCTCTTGCCTAATTAGGATCACATGAACAAGATTTTTATTTTATTTTCCTAAATAAAGTTTTACCACAAAGCCAGCAGCAATGTTGGAAAACAGCTCAAACTGAACAAGTTCAAGGTGAAACTGTCAGTGTGCTATGCTGCCTTATATAGGTAATAAGTAATAACTGTAATGTGATTACTAACTACTAATACTTTGCTTGATTGTGTTACAGATAAATGTAATGTGATTACAGTAATGTTTTACCTCCAACAGTGATTATAACACTCTTCACTGAATGTTATCAGTAAATGTGTTGCCTTTTTCTAGATCTGAGTGGTCTGATGTGATTACTCCATCAATCAAGTTTTTTTTTTTTAGTTTAAATAAAGAAGAATGTACTCAGATTTTGTGGAAAATAGGTCCCACTTAAAATACGTAATAACCAGACAAATTCATACATCAACCTTGTTAAACTGTCCTATAAGATCATTAACGTGCACTGTTGTGATTATTATTTTCTTGTCTCTAAATTCTTTCCATTTAATCTTACATGTCGTCGGGGAGTGAAAGCGGACGATAAAAGGCTCCCTGGAGAAAACATCAGTCTCATTGGTCCCGTCTCCTTCCAGTTTGGGATATTGATAAAGCTCTTTGACCTGCAGCACGTTGTTCCTGGAGATGATGGAAGAGGAGACGACAAGATAGATAGATAGATAGATAGATAGATAGATAGATAGATAGATAGATAGATAGATAGATAGATAGATAGATAGATAGATCTGGTTACCTGTAAATGTAGACATACTGCTCCTTGTAGGTCTTCCTGCCCAACCGTTCACTCTCCACGTAAGAATAGGAGTTGTATTTGTCAAATCTGTTCACGACAACATGAATGAAGCTGTTGTTGAGTGGATATTGTTAAATGTGACCGAACATTCACCAGTATTTGAACCTGCAAAACCTCGTACCCGTTAAGATCCTTAACCAAAGCTTCTATTACTTCTCCTTTGGAGTCTCGAACCTCTTGAATTAGACACAAGTCGCACCGAGAAAGAATCTTGGGGGCAAAAAAAACATAAAAATGTGATCCATCAGCTGACTAGTTTGTTGCTCCAGTTGTGGTTGTGAACACACAGCAGAGTACCTTTAGTAGAATCCCCATAACCTTCTTGTTGTTTGCTTTTGATTCTCCAAAACTCTGAACATTAAAAGCACAGATTTTCAGGGAAGACGTGACGTTTAATGCACAGAGTGCCACAACAAACAGGAGCCCTGCAGTCCTCATCTTGCAGACAAGTATTGCTCTGTAAGAAAAAAAGAGAGTTTGGCAACAGCTTTGTCAATTTGTCACATTGTGAAATGTGTTACAGAAACTTCCAGCCGCGGCCTCTTACCTTCAGTGAGCTTGTCAGAGGGTGACTGACCTCAGGCCAGCAAAGATCCATCTCTTGAATGGGCGGCGGTGCATTTGGGGAACATGCAGGTAAACGGATGTGTGCTGTGGATGTGCTGCGTCAGTGGCCTGGTGAGAATAGAGCTTTATCTGGAACAGTTAAAACCACTGAATACAATGAACAATGACTCCGTCCAACTCAGAGGGTTCAGCTTTGTCTCTAAGTTTGAGCGTAATCAGACAATAGATGCTGCCGTGCGTCATGGTTATCAGTTTCATGAACATTTGTGTGGAAAATACTACAACACGTGTCAGTCTGTCCGTCCGGCAGGAGCAGCTGGTAGCTACCACACAGAGCTCACACATCAAATCACTGAGACAAAGCCGACCAACGGTGACTAAAGGTGTGGCCTTCACTGTGATGGCTGTCCATGCAGTTTGATGCATCTGTGGAAATCTGCATTTGTATTTGTACATGAAATGGAGGTTTTCTGTCCTGATCTGAGATTAACTGAAAACCCAATGCAACCAGAATAAGTACTCATGAAAAGTACATCGGTTTATTAAAAATAAAAGCCCGTATGTCAGAAAGTCAGAAGTGTGCAGAGGTGAAATGTCACAAAACACATTTATTCAAGTTCTGTTCTTATATGCAGTATTAATATACTTGAAATTTCTATTTTCTGCCATTTTTTCTTTTACTTTAGTACATTTCAGCAGCAAATACTGTACTTTTCACTGTGCTACATGTTTTTTTTTTGCAATGGCAGTTTTCATGCAAATTAAGATTTTACATTTATAACGTGAGTTTTCATCTCGATATGATGCCTTGTTATTGATTAAACCAAGAATATACAAAGTAGTTAAAACTGTATTTATACATCTATCCACCAATAATGTTGAGTTTTGCAATACAGCTATAAAAATGCAACTCTGGAACTTCTGTTACATCAGTTATACTTCAGATAACAATATTTGTCTAGATATATTTTAGCAAAATTTTAACTACAGAGCTTTTGCTGTATGTAGCTGTGCATTTTGAAAGTGTAATATTGCTAAAGGCTCATATGTCCTTCAGATCTGCATCTGTGAACGTACAAATTTTAGTTATTGCTTGTTCGTGTATGTAGCTAAATTGTTGAAACAGGTCAGCCTTTTTTTTAAACAGTGTATTAAAATGTAAAATACACTCTTTCAGGAGTTTTATAAGACAGTGTAGAGTCATAAAGATACGTCTTAGTCCACGTACACAGGTATTAAACCATAGAAAAACACTAGCGAGTCATTTTCACTTGTCTTTAATGAATGTATTTAAACTCCACACATCAGAAGCAGCAGAGAATGTGATTAACCAATCTTTCCCCATCCAGCCAAAAACACAAAAACTGCAGTGAGGACAAGGTCACAAAGAGACGTGAGTGTGGCTCCTCTTAGTGGTTTTGTGTTTTCTCTCAATAACAAATTCCAGTAGTTTCCAACAATATATCTCAGAGACGCCACAACGTGTAATCTGGTCAAGTGAACAGTCTGAAGGTCAGTGAGTTTAACAGGAATTCAGCAATTTTACATTTCAGTGATTTCTGCAGCAAGTATATATTACACACTTTAAACACTGAGTGGCAGTGGGAAGGAAGGTTTCCACTGTTTTACTGAAATGAATAAAACAATATAAAAAATTATCAAAATCCTACGTAAGTAAAAGCAAACAAGTGTTATCATAGCGCGCTGAGAATGTTAGATGATTTGTGGAATAATATGTACCCTCTAAATTCCTGTGTATTAACAGTTGTATGAATGTATGTATATTTTAACGTAAATTGTTTACAATGTATTATTCACAAGTGTATTTCTATTTACTTTGGAATTGAATGGGGTGTTAGCAGAACAGTAACCACACAATTTAATGCAAAAGACAATTCATTTTAATCAATCTTCTCATTAAGATTAAAGCTTAATGTCTTTCTGAGGTTTGTGTAGGTTGCAGAAAATGCATGGTGACAAAGACAGAGAATATCTGCAGCAGATGAAGCAGGTCATTCCAGATGTCCCTCCTCCAGGCAATGCTTTCTAGTTCTTCCTGAGAGATCCCAAGGTGTTCCCAGGCCAGACGAGGTATATAATCCCTCCAGCGGGTTCTGGGTCTACCTCAGGGTCTCCTCTCAGGCGGACGTGCTCAGAAAACCTCCAAAGGAAGTCTTCCTGGAGGCATCCGAAACAGATGTCTAAAGCACCTCAACTGGCTCCTTTCGATGCTAAGGAGCAGCGGCTCTACTCCGAGCTCCGTGCAGATGTCCGAGTTTCTAACTCTATCTCTCTCTATCTCTAAGGCCAGCCCATCCACCCTGCAGAGAAAGCTAATTTTGACCACTTGTGCAATCTTGTTCTTTCAGTCACTACCCAGACCTCATGCCCATAGGTGAGGGTTGGGATGTAGATGGACTGGTAAATCCCTCGTCACCACAGCGATCCAGTACAATGCTCACATTACTGCTGACGCTGCACCAAGCAGCCTGTCTATCTTACGCTCCATTTTCCCATCACTCGTGAACAAAATCCTGACATAGTTAAACTCCTTCCCTTAAGGAAGCAACTTCCACCCAACTTGGAGGTAACAATCCACCAGTGTCTGGCAGAGAATCATGGCCTTGGACTTGGAGGTGCTGACTTTCATCCTAGCTGCTTCACACTCAGCTCCAAACCGCTCCAGTGTGTGTTGAAGGTCACGGTCTGATGAAGCCAACAGTATCACATCATCTGCAAAAAACAGAGATGCAATCCTGAGGTCCCAAACCGGACACCCTCCTCACCCCGGCTGTGCCTTGAGATCCTGTCCATGAACACCACAAGAAGGATCAGAGACAAGGGTCAGCCCTGGTGGAGGCCAACACCTACTGGGAACGTGTCTGACTTTGTGCTGAGAATGCGGACACAGCTCTCACTTTGCTTGTATGGGGACAGAATTGTATCAGTGAGCCTGGTACCCCATACTCCCACAGTACCCCCCACAGAGCCTCTCAGGGGACATGGTTGTCGGCCTTCTCCAAATCCACAAAATACATGTGGACTGGCTGGTCGAGCTCCCATGCCCCCCTCAGCAGTTCTGCAAGGGTAAAAAGCTGGTTCACTGTTCTACAACCAGGACGGAATCTGCATTGCTCCTCCTGAATTCAGGCTTCGACAATCAACAATCGAGCCTCCCTTTCAGCACCCAAGAGGAAACTTTCCTGGGGAGGCTGAGAAGTATGATACCCCGATAATTGGAACACACCCTCCAGTTCCCCTTTTTAAAAATGTAACCCACCACCCACAATTACTGTACCCGATGCTCACGTGACATTTAAGAGGTGTGTCAGCCAAGACAGTCCAACAATGTGCAGAGCCTTTAGCATCTTGGGGCGAATATCCGTCCACACCTGGCGCTTTGCCACCGAGGAGCTTCTTAACTACCTCGGCGACCTCTACCAAGGATATGGACAAAGATTCCCCTATAGTCTGGAGACTCTATAGGACACAAAATTATTTTCTCTAAAATGTGCCTGGAAAATTTACTAAATTTATTCTTCATTCTGGGACATTTCTTTTAAAATGTGTTTGAATCTGTTTAGTGATTTCCATGTGCTTTTTGTTGATGTCTAGTGCAGCACTCACACGAACAAATCAGTCACATAAAATCTGTCTTTTTAATAATTCTGGGTTGTGCTGCTGACTAAATGAACCATTTACAGTACAAAAGACATTTCTTATTTTTCTCCTGTTGTGACATTTAGACTCACAGTTTTTTAAAACGCTGTGAGCTGCAAACAGCTTGCAAACATTACAAACAAGCGCTGTTGTGTTCACTTGTTTCTGAACATTCTGCACACAGATACTCACGACTTTGTCACTTCACACAGACTTTAGTTCCCAGTCCACAAAACATATAAAATACACAAATATTAGCAAACTACATTCTATAAAAAAATTCTTATTTCAAAACAAAAGCAACAACAACAAAAACTACATGTTCCTGAGCAGTGACATTATCATATCGGTCTAAAACAGCCCGAGTGTCGAGGAGAGGCCATTTCCATGAGATAGTCTTCGATACGTGTCTCTATGTCGGAGTACAGGTCTTCAACTTGCTCCCTGAAGTCGGGATGCCACAACCACAACATGGCAGCTCCTGCTACAGCGAAGAGCAGCAGGAAGATCAAACACAGCTTCCACCAGGAGCCGCATGGCATCTAAACATAGAGGAGGGAAACATGGAGGTCACGTAACGTGGAAGCAGAGAGTTTTAGTCTTTATTTCTGATGTTGTGATGCAGCTGCTCAGGTGGTCACTGCAGCGACAATGAAGCAAATTGCTGCAAATGCATATTGGTGCAGTAAATGTCAAGAGGCTGGCTGACAATGTGAGGGCAAATGAGAGCTTTTGAGTACTGCAAGGGCGTTAAGTCTCAAATTCCCCTACATGCACACACACACACACACACACACACACACACACACACACACACACACNCACACACACACACACACACACACACACACACACACACACACACACACACACACGTTACTCACTGTTCTCCTGCGGCGGTGGCTGAGTTGCCGGAGTTCGTCTCTGCACTGCGACAGCCGGGCCTGGCTGGACTGACACTCCTGCTCCATAGCATGCAGGTCCGACCGCAGCTCCTCACACTGAGCGCGCACACACACACACACACACAAACACACGCACACACACGCACGCGCACACCATATGGAACAAGAACGTACAAATTATATTTAGCTACAACCAACTCGAAATACATCTTGCAGTGCAGATAATCTATATTTATACAGTGTATTTAAAGCAAGAGGTGCCACATGTTTTTTTTTTCACTGAAGTGAGAACTTGTAAAATAAATGTGATCTTTAACAGAATAGTAACACATTTGAAAATATTCTAGCAATGCATATGGAATGTGATTTGAAAAAAAAAACCTTACAAGTGGTAGCTCAGTTGTTTTGTTTTTTGGCCAACAAATAGAATTGGATTTCTCTAAAATGTGTCTGCAATATTTCCAAAACTACATGATTCCCTTGTCATAATCTGAGTACATCTACAACCATTTTAAATAATATTTCCTGATGGGGCCCGATGCATCAGTTTTTGCACCCTTGTAAAAATTGCAAATGAGGAAATATTACTTTTACCCTGACTGGTGCATACATAAGTATCTGATTGTGGGATCTACTTTACTGTAATATCACCTGTGTGGCACCTCTGATTAAAGCTTGTGAAAGCACTACAGTTGACCTTGATGTCGCCGCTTTACCTCTTTCTCCTTGAGCTGCAGTTTCTCCTGAGTGTGCCGGAGATGCTCCTCCAGCTGAGAGTCTCTCCTCACAGTCAGTTGTGGCTCTGGTTCCTGTGACGTCAGAATCTCCTGCATCATGAAATCCTGGCTTTCATCACTGCCATCTAGAAGAAAAGCATTTTAATTAATGAGCCACAAGCCCATAATGGCTTCACACTAAACCTTAACAAAACACAACTCTATTGTCTTGCCTCTGAGGTGCTGGATTTCTTCTCTTAAAGTTTGGTTGTTCTCCTCCAACAGGCAAATGTTGTACTGTAGTTCCTGCTTTTCTTGCCTTAATGACACCACCTCCTCCCTCAGCTCATCCTCTCTGGCTCTGGACAGCTGCACAAGACACACTTGTGGTTTTCACAACCATTTACATTCAAACCTCTGACTATGCACGTTGTCATAGTATACTGTACCTCCACTTGGCTGTGCAGTTGTTGCAGCTGTTCATTACTGAGGTATTGATTCTCCCTGAGCTGCCCAGAGCTCAGCTTCAGCTCCTCATAAAGGCTCTGCCACCTCAGTGCCTCTGCTTTTGCTGTAACTAGCGCTTTCTGTTGGCAAAAATACAACAAACCTTCAAATATCAGCTGCAGTATCGACAATGTATTAAACCAGGTCACCAAAACCACAGTTAGATATCAGACCTGCAGTGTCTCAGCCTTGCTGAGTGCTTCTGTTTTCTCCTGCGTGGTTTTCTGTAGGGCAACCAAGGCCTTCTCCTCATACATCAGTCTCTGCTTCTCCATCTGCACCACCAGTTTCTTCACTCCATCTTTCGGAAACTTCTGTGGGGACACAACACTGCTGAGTTAGACCTTCAAATGATTATGGGGTGAAATGCAAACCAAAACCACAGAGGAGCACATGCAGTGAACACTGAACTGTCACTGCACGGCAGAGTGAAGTCAGAACAGTGAAGAGCAGGACTGGTTGTTTCAGGAACCTTTGGTTTGTTTCAAAAAAACAAACATATATTTATATAAACAATAAGACTGTGTAACTCTAATCAAATGTTTGGTTTATTTCATAAAAATAATCTAAAAACATACTCCTTCTGTAAAATTCCAATATTCTGCGGTTGCTTGTTTAACAGCTTCTTACCAGCAGACAGACTTGCAGCTGTGCCTCCAGAGTCTTGATCTTGTTTCTCAGCAGATCTTCAGTGCAGCGAGACTGTGTGGGTTGGAAAGGAAATGAATGACTGTCACGCTGTAACCTGCAGATGGAACATTAATGGCTCGTGTACCAAAATATATTACAGCATATTGTTTCACAGTGTGCACCCACAGGTGCACGAGGGGAACTTGCAGCATCAGTGACTCTCGATCACAGTTTCTGAATGTGCTGCAAAGCTTCACTGTTATAAGTGTGGAAAATAACACAAGTTGCCCAATGAAACCATACCTGAGTGGAAAACCATTTTCACAGATGAAAAGCCTAAACTATTTCAGCTCAATAAATAAATGTTCAGCCTAAATTTAATAAAAAAAAAAAAACCAAGACACAAAAACAGGAAGCACCAATATTTCCCTTTCATTCATTTCAGTCAGAGTAGCCAAAAGAGAGCTAATGAGGATGCATAGCACCTATAACAGCTACTGATTGGCACACCCTTCCTGCATAAGAACAACAGCTCGTTCTGCAGTAAAAGGCTCGAGCGGAAGCAGGAAGCTCTAAACCACAGACTGCATAGGCCTTCCTGAGGCAACAGCCGTCATACACTGCTGGGTACAGGACTAAGATAAAGAAATGTTCAGCACCAGCAACAACGTGACCTTATCAGAAAAGAAATATGTGTTTGGTATTTGGAAACTGTAACTGCAAAACACCAGGGGTGTGTTTGATGTATGTAAACAGGCCGTGCACACAGATGGGGAGTCTTACTGTCCATATTTTGCTTGAAGAGTTCACAAGGTTTGTCGTGCTCTCCTGGAGGGATGCCAGTTTCTTCTTCAAGGCCTCCTCCCTCCACAGGGCCTCCTGATAGAAAACAAATCACAGAACAGAGATGGCTACGTCAACACACGAATACTGAGCACATCAAAAGACAGCAGGTTTTTATCTAATATGTGAATGAATTGTGCCACTGAATAAGTTATCAGGCTTTAAAGTAGCATCAGAGCATAAAAGTAAAGCAAAACGTTATTATTTTTACATAATGATAGGTACAGTTCTACAGTTTTATTTAGCAGACGCCACAGACTAGCTTAAGTCTGTCAACACGAGCCACCAAATATCAGCTGTTGTTCACACAGTGCCAAAAAATGATGGCAAATTGTAAAATTTAGTGTAACTTTTGTACTAATTGTAAAGTTAAAAATTACCATTGGTTATCAGTAACCGTTGACATACATCACAAGATAATGGTATATGAGTAAAGAAGCTTTATGAAGACAGACAGACTTCAGTGATGTCAGTTACACACCAAAACTCTAGCTCAAGACTGCTAGCATTAGCCAACATTAGCAACCACATGCCAGCTGCTGTTCATTCCAAATCAAGCAGCTTCAGAATATACAAACACAGCAAAACATTTGCACAGTAACAGCCACTGTGTCTACAAATGATGAATTCATTTGCAAAAGCCTTCAGAAAACCCACATTTCCATCGTCTACCTGAGACAATATCAATCAAACTTCAGTTATCTCTATTGTTGTCATGTCATTTCTACAGAGTCAAATCCACTCAACCCTTTGATTGATATTGTCTCAAGCAAACAACAACAACAAAAAAAACGTTTTCTGAAAATCTATAAAAATGGAGTTATCTGTTTTTGCAAATGAACTCTTCGAATGATCCCTCTGTTACAACAGTACATTTGTAAAATGTAATGTGACGCAAGTACAAGAAGCATCAGACAACCTTAAGGAATGTCATACAGCAAAATCTAGCTAATTGGCTAACTTAGCCACCACATGCGAGCTGCTGTTCATTTAAAACCAAACAGTGATGGGAATTTTTTTAAATGTAGTTGTACAACTAAAAAAAGAGTAATGAAGTCACCAATGCCCATCACTGATGTTAGTTAAACAGCCAAAGCTAAAGTTTGCTAACATTAGCTGCATTAGCCACCAAATGCTAGCTGGTGTTCATAACAAGTCAAACAACTTCAGAATATAAAAACACAGCAACACCACATATTTTTTGCTTAATGACAGCCACTACATCTACAAGTGACATCTGACACAGTTGTAAATTTGCAAAATGTAATGCAAGAAGTAGTAGTACAAGAAGCGTCAGGAAGACAGACCGACGTCAGGAATGTCAGGTATACATTAGCTATTATTAGCCACCACGCGCTAGCTGTTCTTTATACCATGCCAAAAAACTTAAAAAATATGTGTAAATACAGTTCAAGTCTGTAACATTTGCTCAGTAACAACTAATCTATATAAAAGCGGCAATGCTGAGATAGTATTACATTTGTAAAATGTAATCTAACAGTAGTAGAAGAAGCATCATGAAAACGGACAGGCTTCAGAAAGGTTAGTTACACAGCAAAAATCAAGCTAAAATCTGCTAACATTAGCCACCACATGCTAACTGCTGTTCATTATAAACCCGGCAACGATGGTAAATTGTAAAAAGTAGTGTAACAGCTATAAAGTCACGAACATCTATCATTAATGTTAGTTTAACAGTCATAGCTAAAGTTTACCAACATTAGCCAACATTGGCTTCCATCGGCTCTTGCTCATATCAACCTGAGTGAATGCCATTACTAATTATTTTTCTACTTTTAATTCAATAAATGAACAATGTGTAATTTTATATTCCTCCAGTTACATTGCCTTGCTTCAAATGATTAAGAAAGCACAGTTCAGGATGGGATTGGATGAGAATTTGTTGGTTTACCTGCAAGTAGTCTGCTAATCTCTGAATATCCTATTAGGAGACAGATAAGAGACATTAAAAACAGTTTTAAAAAATCCGGTGGATACAAGGTTAGCATTAGATTACAAAGCTCAGGAGTAGATTCTGGGATGTATCGTCTGTTTCCCCTCAAATTAACCTGAACTTAACCCAGACCACTCTTTCATTCTGATGCTTTCTGACCCGACCTTCACCCTCATCCTGACCTGTGACCTCTGCCTGCTCCTGAGCCTTGTCATCTAGTATCCACCACAAAAACAACAGCAGTCTGATACTTACTGATTCCTTGACGGTAACAAAGCCTGACCTGCATGGGAGGAAAACATCCTATTAGTTAAACACTGATCACAGTTGCCTCTCAGATTAAATTTGAAATGAATGATTAAAACAGATCTTGGGCAAATTTGAATAAAACTCACTCTGACTGCACACCAGCCTCTCGCAGTATCTTCTTTTGGTGAATCTTTTCGGTTTGGATGAATGTTTTGGTGCTTGTCTTTTGTACTGTGAGGAAAAGGTGGAACAACAGCATTGTAAGTATAAAAAAAAAATCAAGCATAATGTGACAGTCGGTGCTCAAAGTCTTATAAATCTTACAGTTAATGCCGTTGTCTTTTCTATGTGTGCTTTTCGTCCGGTGCTGGCTTGATTCCTGGATGACCGGTATCGAGGTAGATGCTTTCTTTACTGCATGACCTTTCTCTTGCTTCATCAGGGATATCTGTTCTGACCATAATGAAGCCTGAGGGAATGAGAGGAGGAAAAAGCAAAATGCAGGTATTATTCAAAATGAAAGAAAGACTGAACAGGTAATATAACAGTTCAGTACGTGTTTTACCCATTTGCTGGTGCTTGGATCGTCAGTTGTGCTTCTATTTGGTGCTGAAATCATCACCGGATGTCCATTGACAGTGGGGGTACTTTGCATATTTGTATGCAGCGTCTCAGACTTGCTGCTACAAATGTAATGTTTAGTCGAAAACCTGATTTGAGAACGTTTTCTCCTGGAAGAAAGGTCCATAGGCTTTGAGCTGCTCGGCTCTGGGCTCACTGATCTCCTCCTCAAAAACTCCAGCTGCCTTTTTTGCTTTAGTTCTCTCTTTATCAGTGCTGTGTCTAATTCTCTCGTGGGGCTCCGGCACGAAGTCACATTGTTACGTCCTCGTAAATGCTCGCGTTTCTCTGCTCTGACCTCCACCATTTGGTCAAATTCTTTCACTGGGGAGAGCTGTATTCCACTGAGGGAAAGGACGTCCATGGCAGCTCCTCCGGCTGTCGTGCCGCCTCGAGCCTACAATGACAGTGTATCAGAAAGCAAATGACTTCTAATGATTAAATATGTGGCATATAGACAGTTGGTCACCATTTACTGGCGGTAGCTGAAAAGTCCTATTTTTAGGTGTTGCAGGTGCAGTGTGATGGCTTGCATATGGAGACACTGTTAAGTATCAGTTTCTCAGTCTATTAAAGTGACACATTTAAAGAAAACACTGAAAAAATCTCACATCTGGGGGGTTTAAATCTGGATTCCTCAAACACTCCTGACATTTTATTCTCACGAGTCTGTTACATGCCTAAACAAAGGAAACTTAGTGATCTGTAACACCGGGCCGGGCTCCAAATTGATGTGAGCTGTATGCATACAATGAAGTGAAATGTGAAGCCTTAAGAATACCTTTGACATTTAGTAAGGCTCTGTGGAGCTGAGCAGTGCGTTTACTGTCTGAACCGAAGAGGTCGAAGCAGCTCTAGATCATACTAGTACTACAGTTGTCAGCGACAGACAAGGCCCCGGCAACTGTTGACTGAGGCAAAAGTGCAAGGTGATGCAAATGCAAAACGCTGCTTTAGAAACATAAAAATTGTGATAAAGCTTACCTATTGAGCCATCTCATGCAGGAGGGTTCAGACGGTTGAGGAGTCGTCCATTTTTCTCGCTCTACTGAAATAGTGTTCGGGGGTTTTTTTGTCTGTCTTTCACATGTAGCTGTTTCTGTTGAGCATAATTCTAACAGGAAGTGAAGGGAACCACAGCGTCATATGTTCCTCTATCTCACCCGCCACTCGCACCAAACTGATGCCATGCACGGGTGGGCCCCAAGATTACAGACAGACCCAGCCAAGTCTCCCTGCGTGCAGTCTGGAGTAAAACACAGCAGTCAGAGGAGAGAGCTGTGTGTGTGTGTGTGTGTGTGTGTGTGTGTGTGTGTGGCTGCCTTGTGGAAATCTGAATTGTCTAGAATCATTAAAATGGGTTAATGAGGGTGTAAATAGCACCACAGAGCATCAACAGCTTCATCATTTGCTTTAGGTGTGTTATTTACCCCTGTGTGTGTGTGTGTGTGTGTGTGTGTGTGTTTATGCTTCATTTGCTTTAGGTTGACTGACAGGTTAACATAATATTTCACTTTTAATTAAAGCTATGCCAATTTTCAAGAGTGATCAACCCTAAATGTTTGGATCTTAGCATCATGTATCATCTCATATTCCCTCCATTAAGATTTTAATCGCCTCTATTAATCCAAATTCAACCACAGAGGAGTGAAAAGTTGTGTGTTTGCATGCAGCGACATCTAGTGCTCGCCGCTTTAAAAAAAACTCTCGGCTCAAGTCTCGCGTTGTTTCAGGGGGACTTCTCGTGTGGTCCGCCATCCTTGTGGCTCTTTGCAGAAGGGCACGGAGAGGCCGAAACAAGGGTGCCCGGCGTAGCAAGAACTTAGCACTTCATCCTTCAAACATGCTGTCCAGACTCGTCTTGGTCTCAGGTATGCTTTAAACTAGCTTTTATTATGACAACAAAACATTCGTTTCTCTTGCAGGACCAAACTGTCAAGCAGGAGAAATTAAAGTTTAAACTGAATGTGAAGCTGAAGGGTAAAGTGAAGGCCGCACATTGAATGAGACATGCTAATGCTAGCTGGCTGAAGCTAGTGTATTTACAAGCTGTGTATCTACTCTAAAACTGTACCTAGTTTTTTGCTGTTATATTTCTGTCAGCTGTAATTGGGAATGGACCTGAATGGTTTTGCCGTTCCCGCATTTTTAGCAGACATCACTACTGTGTGGCTACAGCTAACGGAAGCTAATAAAGCTAACGTTAGCGCTGCACGTTTGCAAATGTCACCTTATTGACAGCTAGCATTGGTTGATGTTCTACTTTTGCCATCTCCTACACTACACAACCTGCACCTAAAGCATGTTTTTATTCTTGCTACCTTCGAAAACAGTCCATTTGAAACCCACTTAATTGCTACCACACACTGAGTTATATTGCGATAGTTAAATAGCTGCATCTTTGATCTCTTTTGGTATTGAAAGGTATATGTATCCACTTGTCAGTTATTTAGATATTCTTTATCTAAACCTGTGCAGCCTAATACAACAGGTATGCAGTTAGTCCTGCCCTCATCAAGGTTACAGTGTTCAGCCTTTCAGTGTATAGTGCAAAGTGTTAAATAATCAAGAAAGCAACAAGTAAATTAGGTATTTACAAAAACAAGTAGAAGTCAGACCCTTGCACTTAAACACATCTGTTTTGTGCTGTTTGCAGGCAGTGCCCTGAAAGGCAGTGGTCCCCTTGGAGCTGGGTATGTGTCTCTAACACAGTTTTTCATTGTACTTGTAATACCTACTGCACAATAGGTTTTAGCCATAAATGATGTGAATTCAGTGACATGTGTCCCTCTCAAATTATTAATAATGTTGTCCCCTACAGTCTGGTCCATGCTTCCCGCTCCCTGCACACATCGTCCCAGAGTCTGGCCCCAGTACCCCCTCTTCCAGAGAAGGGTGGCAAAGTTCGCCATGGCCTCTTCCCAGAGGAGCTGTTTCAGCTTCTGTACCCCAAAACTGGAGTCACAGGTCTGTCATAGAAGCAACACTTAAAGTTTAATTTCTGTTACATAAATACAGTTTCTTTTTTGTGCACAGAGTCTTCAGAACCTTTACTCTATGTTTAAGAACCACATTCACAATAATCATTTGTTCAAAAATAATCTGCAGCTTGAATATCACTATTATTGCTGTTATTACTAATCATGAAAACTCTCGCTTCCCCCCTTCCCAATAGGACCCTACATGCTGGGAACTGGCCTCCTCGTCTACCTGCTATCCAAGGAAATCTACGTCATCAACCACGAGACCATCGCTGCCATCTCCATAGGCTCCGTCATCGTCTATGCTGTCAAGAAATTTGGTCCAAGTGTCGCAGCTTTTGCTGACAAACTGAATGATGTAGGCTGCTAGCCACACAGATTTGTGTTTTTACCTTTTTTTCCCCCCTAGCTAGCAATGGAATACTTGAAAAGATTTCCTAGATTGTATGATATGAAAAAGGATTTTTTTTAAAAGAAATTAAATATCAGACTTTCAGATCAGGCCTCTTAGGTCTTCTGTTTTGTGCACAACCTTTGCAAGCACTTTTGTAATCCTGTCATGTGTTTTTGTTGTTTTTTTTTCTCCCCCCAGGACAAAGTGGCCAAGGCTCAGGAGGTGAAGGACCTCGCCATGACCAACCTGGTTCAGGCCATTGAGGATGAGAAGAAGGAACAGTGGAGAACAGAGGGAAGATCAATGCTCTTTGACGCCAAGAGGGTAAGCAACACTGACCTTTTCATTTGTATTTCCTCATGTCATCAGTAATCAGAATTTACTGCTACCTACATATTTACATGTTAAAACGCATTGACAGCTGCTGCTTTTTCCTCCAGTTGAATGGGGAGTAAGTCATCTTTGACATTTGTCAACCTCTACTGGCAACAAGTAGAAACTGCAACAACATTGTGGCGTTAAATGAATGAATACGTGGGGACTGCTGTGGATTCGGGGAGCTTTGAGATACTTGGAGTAAACTGAGCAATTATGTTGGAAAAATAAGAGATTATAAATACAGAAAAGGTAATCAGAATAAACAGTGATCTATACAGAAGACAAAATAGTTAAAAGTAATAACTATAGAGTCAAGACACCAGTATTAATGTGGTTTAATTATGTCCAAGTAGACAAATAAGTAGTTGAAAAATAAGTAGCAGGTCAAGACCCTACAGTGTGATTTATAATGTGAATATGAGAACATTAAATATTTTTGGCTAAAAACCTTACAAAATTATATAAAATACAGATTTACCCGACTAAATAAAATCTTAAGGTTAAGAATTAAGTATTATTAATTATGGAGATTTACGTGACTAATTTAAAAATGAGACCCTACAAAGCTATACATGGAAAAGTTTCCCTACACTACATTTCTGTTCTACAATTCAAACTAAATTGCAGAGAGAAATTCACTTCTACTCTCTTTAGATATCAGCAGTCTGTGCAAATGCTTTAGGCATCAACATGAAAAAAGATTTTTTTTAAAATAATGCCATGAATAGTTTTAATTCATCAGTTAACATTAATATGAGGTGCAGTAAAGATTAAGAAAATAAGTCAGGTGTTTTGGTGTGACTTTTAAAATAGCTCCAGTGCTCCTAGTTGCGTGATGTGATCTGAAGATCAGGCTCTGTGGGGTTATACAACGTGTTGCAGGACTCATTGTTCCTGAAGGCAGTTCTTTATGACTCTGGTCTAAGCTTGGATTCATTGTCAAGCTGCAGAATTTATTTGGTTCTGATCAGGTGCCTGGTCATCCACTAAAGTGCATAAAACCGTTTCACAGTACTGCATGTCTGACTACTGAGTTTTGTCAAGTCTTGACTGAAGTAAAGTTTACATTATTATGTTTAACGATTATTTTATGTTTTTAAAAGAATTCTAATTCAATGTCTGAAGCTTAAATCGACTTTTAAACTGTCGTCATGACTTAAATTTTGGTACGATGTTAAGAGCAGGTAAAAAGAGGGACTTTAGCTTCAGTGTGGACCAGATAAAACAGTTACAAAGACGATCTTCTCTTTCCCTCTCAGAACAATGTGGCCATGCTGTTGGAGACCAACTACAGAGAGAGGCTACACACGGTGACCAATGAGGTGAAGAGGCGCTTGGACTATCAGATCGCCCTGCAGAACCTCCACCGTCAGATGGAGCAGGAGCACATGATCCGCTGGGTGGAGAAGAGTGTTGTCGGCAGCATCACTCCTCAGCAGGTCAGTCCTTTTTTTTTTTTTTTTAATCACAGGCCTCCAGATAAGTGATGACTCTCAGCTGAGGTGTTTGTCTATGCAAAGAGTGCTTTGTGTGGCAGTATGTTGTTGTTTTTAAGACCCAGTTTCAATTAGCATCTTGTTTTTATGATCAAGTAGTTTCAGTGTTGTCTGCTTCCTTTAATTGGCTGAGTTTAAGATCCCTGATTAAAACATAACCCACTGTGCACCATTTCACCACAAACACTTTTCGAAGGTGCTTTTTTAAATATATCCTTCAGATATTATTAATCATCTTTGAGGGTTTTTCTTTTGTAACGCAAAACATGAAATATTAAAGCATACGTTAAACCCACATGTTGTTGCTTGTCTCTCAGTCACATATTTGCTCTTATATCACATTCTTTGAAGTGACGAACAGGATTTTCTACAACAGTTGGCATTTTTCAGACTGTCTTTTGAGCTCCTTATTATCTGTGACGGATAACTTTCTGGCTACATGACAGATAATCCAACTGTCCGGTTATGCTGTAAGGACATCAGGAGATATGTTGGATTTTTTTTTCCCCCACTCATTATGAACGTTAAAGCCTACAGAAGCTCTCAGTTTACACTAATGAAACATTTTAAGGGTTACTACATGCTATAAACAGCAGGCCATGCAACATTAAGGCCACAAACAGCTGGTAGTGCCGCACACTCAGAAGAGTGTTTCGTGTCACTCTCTCAAGTCAAAAGAATATCAATGTTGTAAATATAGTTCCTTCGTCTTCAAATAAAATGCAACCCTACAATTTATCAAACATTCTCTGGGGGGTGACCCAGTGCCATGCCAGGTGCCCTCAGCAGCCAGACTTACTCCTCTGTTGTATTTCTCCACATTTCATATCTATTGTAACTGTAATGAAATACATGTGAAATTCATAAACAAATCAGTAAAAAGAATTCCGTTAATAATATTATATTTAGTTTTCTTTGATCATGAATTTTCTGATTTAAAATTAATATAAAAATGGGCTCATTTTAGACTCAGTTTGTAATAAATTGTAATGTTTTTCATTTAGGCAAAGATTTTGTCAAATAGAAAAAGTCTTGTATAAAAAAAAAACAATTTGATTGCAATTTTTGACCACAATGTTCTAAGACTGACAACATATTGTTTGCTAATCAGCTAGCAGGTCTGTTACCCTGACACTTGAAGCCCTGTTCTTACTGTTTTGTATGAGTTTCATATCTGTGTTTTCTTTGTTTTTCAGGAGAAAGAGAGCATCGCTAAATGCATCACAGACCTGAAGGCGCTGGCCAAGGCCACTCAGGCCAAAGCTGCAGTCTAAACTGTCGTGGCTCCAGAGACGGCTGCTCTAATTCCCTACTCATTGTCCCAAGACGAGACGCCACCTTTCTTTTCACAATAAACTATTTCCTCTTAAGGATTGTCTCTGTCAATACTTTGGGTGTGTACAGTATTTACACGTCAGCAGATGGTAAAATAAATGGTTCTCTTATTCAACTTCAACTGGTCCTTGAGTTTTTCCACTTGGAATGTTCTTTTCTTTCTGTCCACATTTTGCTTCACCTTTGCTGTATTTATTCTGGGACGTCACTCTTTTATAGCCATGTTAGAATGGGATCGGGGTAGATGACTGCACAAGTAGAATATTTTCCAGGGCACTTCAGACCTTTGACCGCCTTGAAGGAGGTACTGTGAAGCATTTCTAAACCTTTGGACTCATAACGAGCTACAGATCTGCTGCTTTCCACCTTACGTTGCGCCAGGCCCACCCTCTTGAGCCGTCATATTGTTGCACTTTGATCCTGGTGCTGTCAAGCGGATGTCAAGGAAATTTTCTCGTAAGTTGAGTAACGAGCAGATGCTTTCTGCTGTTGGAGGTGTTGGGACTAAATCCTATTGAAAGAAGGGAACGATGACACCGGAGCTGAGCTGACGCTGAGAGGTAACAACTGGATACTGAATTTATGTTAAGATCGTGATTGGGGTTATAATCGAAGGGGTTAAATAAATGTTTAGTGGTGGCAGCGTTGTGTCCGGTTTTGAAATCAGTATGTGTTTGTGCTTAAAGAAAGTGGATCATTGTTGCCAGGAAAACTCATCTTACATCCTACATTAAGTCCAGGAGGTACGGGACGGGTTAAAGCTTGACACTTAATCTAAAATAAACTGTAGTGACGATGTGTGTGCCCACAACTGCTGTAGGTGTTTGTGCTTTAGATTTATGTTTCGACCAATCAATGCATAAGGCAGGACCTGCTGCGAAGGCAAAACATTATTAATCCACCAACTACGCTGGTCTGTTTAGTCATGCAGAAAAGTCCTGAAGATAGTTTAATGGTCACTGAAAGCTTTTGCTAAATTAAACCTTGAATTTATTACAGTTCTGGTAACTGATTAACGGGGCAGTGCACTTGTTTTGCTCTATTATTGCCTCTGCTTGCTTATTCAGCTTTGAAGCAACTCTACAATGATGGGTGAATTATTAATGATAAAACATGTTTTAGGAGAAAACTGCCTTTAGTAACGTCAGTCATGTAGAAAAATCATGAAGTTTACTAATGTTAGCTGCCTTAAACTAAAGGTCACACCAGCAGTTAAACCACTGAGTGAGAATATGTTTAATGTTTTTAAGTTATATATTCAAGATCTGTAAATATCCAAGCTGGTTAGAAGAGATGTTTTGTACGTGACATGAAGAGTGAATCCACACGGTTGTCTGTTGTTGTGTTGGGCAACACATTGTGCCACTTTGTCAGCATGAGACATGTTTTTTTATTCCAGGTTGGAGCGACTTTAAAGTGATTCTTACCAGGCTGAAGAAACACACTCCGTGGATTAATCATGTATGGAAACAACAGCCCTTTCTCCTATTCCCCAAGGTCAGTAAAAGTTCTTTTTAAAAAAAGTGAGAATATAATAAACTTTATTTATATAGCACTTTTCAAAACAGGTTTACAAAGTGCTGTACAGATTCATATGACACGTACAGACCAACTGAGTGTCTTTTAATGTCTCATTTATTACACATCTTCTAATTAAGGTTGAACAAAAAATTGAACCAATTACAACAACAGGTAGAAATTAAAATAAAAGTACAGAAACTCCAATAAAACAAAACAGGACGAGACAGCTTGGTTGTCTTCAGCAAGTTTTAGTGACTTTTAGAGTGTTTAGTCTTTAACTATCTACTATGTATGAAATACTAAAAGTGTAATTTCACTTTCAGCTTCATTAGTCAAGGATTCATTTGGTTTAGCGATTTGAGCTCTATTTTTTACATCTTTACAACACCTGACATAACCGTTCACACCCTTTCACAATAAAACCCAACTGTGATTAGGTCACTCTGCAGCTGATTCGAGTCATGGGCTGTGGATATCTTATCTTAGACTGACGGTTTTATTGATATGTGAGGTGCTCAAGCCGTTGACTCATGTACCCCACTTGCTCTGCTTGATAAATGACCTTTTATTATTCTTCAGGGGTTTCTCACAGGAAGACTTTAGTCTGCAAAAACGGGGTTTCCAACAAGATGACTTCAAGCCTGCTCCACAGCATAGAGACGACATGTCCAGACCCAGCGGAAGAACCATATACAGTATGTTCACGTTTAAAAACAACAACAAACAAACATCTCTTCTCTGCTGATATGCTCATTGTTGTGACTGTAATAAGTGTTTATTGCTTTACATCAGTGCAGAGAAAAGAGTACTCAGAGAAGCTGAACAAACATTCCGACAACTTTCGCTACAGAGTGGAGGTAAATGTACAGCAGCATGGACGCCTGCACATTACTAACTAGACACCCATTAGCTCTCTTCACCTCTGACCCTCCTCTCTGGCTCCACAGCATCTCTTCACCTGTGAGCTGGACGGCAAAGAGGTGAAGTCAGTGGTTGACTGCATGGTCAAGCTCAAGAAGGTGGACGCCAAAGGTCGTGTGTGGCCCCAAGAAATGATCATGGAGGCTCAGGGGGGATATCTCATACTCAATGACATCGAGACCAAGGTTGGTAGAATAATTAAATTGTAAATCTGGGATTAGAAGCTGCATTTTTTTTTAGATAACTCCACACTGTAAAGACAAGAAGTATGTAAATACCTGAATATTATACGCAAATGT